GTTGCTGGAGCACAACTCCCATCAGCAATTGCCGGCACCGTCCGTGTTGAGGGATGATGGGAGCTGCTGTACCACAACATTGGGAATTTGGAAGAGCACCCACCCTCATGTTAAAGCCAAAGAAACAGATTAATTGCATCCTACGTTTGAAAGCACTGTGGTGATGGACTACATCTTCCAGAATCCACCAGTCGGATGGAGGATTTTGAGATGTGCAGTCCAAAAAGCCCCCCACCTTAGCTGGGGACAATGGGTGTTGTAGTCTGAAACATCCAGAAGGCCAAAAGGAGTTCCGGCCCCCTCTTCGTCTGTGACTCAGCTCGTTAAGCCGGCTTCCTCCTTAGCTTGTTTCTACCAGCAGCAAGCGTTTGCCTCTTTCTCATTTTTTTTTCCCCCCGCCTCGCTCGGCTGCCCCCAACCCCTTTCTCCCCGGCTGCCTGTTTTAATAGGTTCGTTCAACATTCACTTTTCCCTTTATTATTTGAGAAATGGGTTAGCAAATGAAGAAAAAAAAAGCACTGTATGTGGTCTAGATGGAAAGGAAAGGTGGAAATAAGGAGAGGGCGTGAAGGGGAAATGTTTTCGGAGGTGTGCAAGCCGACACACAAACCTACATCATGTGGCTTCCATCAACACACCATCCCCTGCTTTGGCATTTCAGATTTAATTAAACCCAAATGGTGTGTGTGTGTGTGTAAAAAACAAAACTGAGATCTTAAGGAAATTACCCTTTTTTGCCCCAGCCAGGACGGCCAACCACCTTCTGAGAACTATCGCTTTGAATCTGACTTTGGTCCATCTCCAGTGATGACCAAGACCAGATGGCTAAATTTGTGGCAGGTAAGTGACTAGTCCTCATGGCTCTTTAGACATTCCTCATAGCTTTGAGTGCAACTGTCAGGCCACAAAAACCCAACAGGGTGCTAGCTTTGAGGCTAGGCTTGGAAAGCAGCACAGGCTCCTCCGGACACTTATTCAGAGACATGGCGGGGACCCTCCTCCTCCAGGAGTCAGCTCTTTAGATTTCATAGCAGACTTTCAGCCTTCCCTTTTCTTCCCCTTCGGGCACAGCTTTGCAGACCTAGCCACGCGCCGGAGAATGCTCCCAGGCTAGGACTCAAATCAAAATGAAAATCTCAGGTCTTCCCAGAGCTGTCTCTGTTGTATTATTCTGTTATACTCTCTCCTGGTCTCCAGATATGATTTCCTGTAAAACATGATCCCCCTTCACCACTAATCTCTTCTCTTCTATCACCTCCACCCTCCCTTCCAGCTGGGGAAAAATAACCGATTGCTCTTATCTTCTCACTATCAAAAAATTTGTCTCCTTCGTATTCCTTTTTTGATCTTCCGACACCTTTCCTTGTGATGTTAACGTTCAGCCTCCTCTCTGTTTATTCCCTCCGTTGAAAGGCTAAAGGCTTCAAAGCAGAGCGGCTTGTATGGATGACAAAAGGTCTCTTTCTCTCTCTCTCTCTCTGAGTCCCTCTCCCTCCTCAACACGGATGTTCTCGGTTTGGCAGAACAGTCAAACATAAAAACCTGAAAGTCTGACAGATGGGGGTGATCAGGAGGGTGAGACCCCAAGCAAAACCCTTTAGGGCCCCATGACCTGCTGGCAGAGTTACCTCTGGACGACAACTCCCATTACTACAACATGGGAGAGGGAGTGGTCAACAGAATCAGAGGAATCCCAATGAGACGGTCGAAGAGGGAATAACGGCCACCTTCGGAGAGGAGAACGTCTCAAAAAGAGGGGGGGAAACCTTCAAGACCTTTCATTTTCCTGCCCCTCTGTTTGCAATTCTCCTCCTGAATCCATGTGGAGCATGACATCCTCCCTCAGGTTCAAGAGGGGATGTAAGGCAGAAGTGGTTGTGTGTGTGTCTGTGCTCACGGCGCATGCAGCGCTTAAGTAAACTGTTAGTAAACTGCGATCTGCCCTTTATGTGTGAAAGCTTTACAAGGGAACCTTCTGGTGGGCTTCATGCAGTCACAAATTTTTCATTAGGAGCCTGGTGGCCCAGTGGTAAAAATGCAGGACTGCAGCCAAAACTGTGCTCACAACCCGGGTTCAGTCCCAGGGAGCCGGCTCAAGGTTCACTCAGCTTTCCATCCTTCCGAGGTCGGTAAATCGCTGGGGGAAGGGGGCAGTGTGTTGCCTGTGTAATTAAATTGCAAACCGCCCATTGAGTGCTTGAAGTGCTGTGGGCCGATATATAAGCAGCACGCTTTATTAATTTTAAATTTTTGCCATTTACGAGGAGAATTTGATTCCTGGATTGTTGAGCTTGTAGACAGACAGAGAGACAGAGAGACAGAGAGACAGACAGACAGACAGACAGACAGATAGATAGATAGATAGATAGATAGATAGATAGATAGATAGATAGATAGATAGATAGATAGATAGATAGATAGATAGATAGATAGATAGATAGATAGATAGATAGATAGATAGATAGATAGATAGATAGATAGATAGATAGATAGATAGATAGATAGATAGATAGATAGATAGATAGATAGATAGATAGATAGATAGATAGATAGATAGATAGATAGATAGATAGATAGATAGATAGATAGATAGATAGATAGATAAGAATACACGGATAAAACTCCAGAGAGGGTTAAGGCTGTTGAACAGCATGGAGAACTGCCTGAATATTTTTGGCAGGAGGGAGAATGGCAGGAGAACGGAGTATCCTCAAGGAAGATGGAAGCCACAGATGGAAGTGCTTCACGCTGCAACCTTTTGCTGCAGTTAAGCCCCACACTTCGATGTACACTGGGAGAGAAACAAATCCTTCTCCCAGGGTTCAATCCTCTACCCAATCCTCCTCCCCTCACATTTGCTGGCCATATCCCCACCCCACCATAACTAAAACCACCCCCAATTCGATTCCTAAGAGCTGCCTGCTATTCCTGGGGGGACCACAGCTAAGAAAGAAACAACAGCTCAACTCCTACACAGCTTTCATTTTTCAAAAGCATCTTTCCATCACCACCCGTTCTGCAAAATCAAAAAAATGAAAAAAAAGAGCACTAATTTTTATTATATTTTTAAAGCCCCTCGCTGCCACAGGAAAAAGCCATTTACAGAACGTGATTAGCAGTGTTTAACAGAGCCATTTATAAGCTGACAAGCCGGTCACAAGCCAGTAAATAATTTGTCTATATAATCGCTGCGTTAGGCCATTCATGGGTAGCACTTGCTTATAAATAACTCCTGCCATTAATTTTTTTTTTCATGCCAGGGAGGGGGAGAAGATGGAAATGCTCAGATGGTGTAAATCAGGAGTAAGCAAAACCTCCCTCCCACCTTTTTTTTTCCCCAGCCAAAGATTTCTTTCCTGAAAGATTCAAGGACTGTCCGTTCTCCCTGGGAACAGATCATGTTAAAGGATGTTAAAGGACTCAGGCCCTTGAATCCTCTAACATCCCAAATATTAATAATAAATTTTTTTAATACCAGGAGTGGACTTTGAGTTGCTGCCTGTTTCATTATTTGCAAAAATAAATAAATCATTTTATTTATTCTTTGGCTTTTTAGTCTCTCGGATCCCTGCTGGGACATGGGAACAGGAAATTGGCCCTGGAGCTTCTCAAGCTGCCTGCCCTGCTATAAACAGCAAAGAAGCAGCAGAAAAGCGCAGATCCGCACCAGGGTCGAAATCCTGTTCAGGGTAGGGGGGGATCACACACACACACACACAGAGGCAGCTTCCCTCCTTTGGCCAGCTAAAACGTTCTAAAGTTAGGGAAGCGCTTATGACTCAAAACAGCCCCCCCCCAAATGCCGATTTTGAAAGAGAAAGGATTTTAAAAATCCCACTGGTCAGAGAGGTTTCCTCGCTGCTTGTCAAAGGAGGTCCCCGACATGGGGAAACTGGTGATTTTGGGGACTCTCTCTCTGGTCCCCCAAACCCCCACAACTAGCAAAACCATTCTATGGGATGCTGGGATCTATTTACTCATTTTTAAATCCCTGGAAAGGCCTCCAGATGTCTCAGCCCCTCTCCGTCCAAAATACCTAAGAATGTATCCTTCTTGGTGGGAAACCCAACCCACCCACCCTCGGGGGAGGGGGGGAGATGGAAGCCAGGAGCAGAAAGGTGTAATTAAGATGCAGATCTTCTTTCCCCCCCCTTCCTTCCAGATAGGAAGAGCCAAGGATTGGCAAGGATGTTTTGCGGGAAAAAAATATGCAGAAAGAGAGAGACAACTGAGGAAACAGCACTGGAGGTGGGGTGGATTAATCACTCCCCATCCCAACCATCAAGCTCTCTCATCTTTTCCTGGCTGTGACAGTCCGTCTTTGGGCCTGTAAATTGGAGAGAAACCAGGTATCCACCCACCCACCCATTCTTCCTGAATACCACCACATGCTCAGCCCTTCAACAACTTCCTACGTTTAGCTTTTTTTTATTTTTTGGTTTGCAGGGAGTGGGGAGGACAAAACAGTGGAGGATCCAGAGTAATGGAGGACATTTTCCATTCTGGATATTACTGTAATTAACCCATTTCTCCCCATCTCCCACCTAAAAACACCCAAAATTTTGGCTGCATTTCCTTGGGTTGCCAAAAAGAATTGCGTTCCGAACACTTCAACAACACACATCCTCCTCCGGCCCAGAACATTTTTGAGGACACAAACGTGGGAAACCAGACAGAGGAACTAGTTTTGGGTGGAAAGACAGACCCCACACAGCATGGTGGGGCTGGCTAACCTTGAGGGAATGGAGTCTGTGGAACTTCCACGGACTGGATTAGAACCTCTGGTGGGCCAAAGAGGGGCAGTGTATGGTTTCCCCTTCTTTTTTAAAACCCTGACGCAGGTCTGTGAAGGAGGACGAGCAGCAGATCCCCCCAGGAAGACTGTATCGGGTTGGGAAATTCCAGATTGTTTTGTTTCAATAATTAGAAGAAAAAGACATTCTCGCTCATCACTGAGCGGATCAACACTAGATGACTTAAGAGAGCTGTGAATCCCCTACCTTTGCTTTGTTGATTGTACAGTGAAGGGCGTTGTTTTCCTGGTCATATAGCAAGCTGAAATCTAACGTCCCCAAGGCAGCTGGAAGAGATTAAGAAGGAAGAGGTTTATTAGAAGACAGCCATATTTTGCACCCCAGCTGCAGGGTCCCAAAATCTTCAGGGTCACACAGCACGCTGGTTCGTGAGGGGATCGTGAATCCGAATCATCAGGCAAATACACATCCCATACAAGGACAATGCAGGAGGTCTTAGGTGCAAAAGGGTTAGAGCAAACTGAGATGCAAAGAAGAAACACTGGGAAAAGATCCTTTGGGGGACTACAAGGCCCATAACCCTGCAGCCAGCATGACATCCTGGTCCAAGATTCTTGTAGCCCCAAAAATAACTTTTACTCTAGTGAGAGTAGAGGGGGTGGAAGAGAACTACATAAACACACACACACATACACACACATACACACACATACACACACACACACACAACATGGAACACTTTTCTTCTCAATCCATTATCAAATCCGCTTTCTGAAAACGTACCAATTTTCCTCCTAGGTAAGTACTACAAGATGGCTCTTAACTTTGGCCTCGCCGACTCCAGAGGAGGTCTATGAGTCGAGCCCTAATAAGCCCCTCCTCACGTCCAACACACTTTTTTCTCTCTTTTTTGGAATGCCCAAATCATTTTATATCATGAGGGCCAGAAACTTGTTTTCCTAAAACAAAACAAACAAACAAAAAAGGAGGCAAAACACAAAAACTCACAATAGGCAGCACCTGGGGGGGGATCTCCACTTTGGCTCTTGGTGTCACGCTTGCCCCCTGTGTGCCCACAGCGTGCAGGGGAAACAGACAGGGCCCTTTCCTGCATCTCGCCGGGCCTTGTCTGCACCCCGTTCGGTTTCACACAACATACTTGAAAGGCAGGCTTTGGCAGAATGCTGGAGGAAATCAAAGTGGGTGCCATAGGGTGGGGAGACAAGAGAAGGGAGATGGGTGCTAAAATGAGTTAAATTTAGCACAACATATATATATTTTTAAAGGAAAATAATTTGAGAGGAAGGAGGTAGTTTGCTGGCACGCAGGAACCAATGGAAGAGGTTACAAATGGCAAAGAGAAAAGGGGTGGGTGTTTTTAAGCAACACCAGGCATTCCTTTGGGGGACAGGCCAAGATCCGACCACGTCAGGGCCTTTTCACTGCATTTCTTTGCTTGCTTGCCTTCTTTACACCACAGCCCTACGAGGTAGGTCACGCCCAAAGAGCCTGTCTGTCTCAAGGTGAGTTTCGTGGGGGTAGAGGAACCGGCGGTCCTCGCCCTGAGCCCAACCTATAGGATTTCTGTCTCTTCTTCTGTGGTTCTTCTCCCACGGGTTGGCGGTTGCTGTTTCCGTCAGACCTTCGATGGGTTCTTTCCGCTCAGCAAAACCCCACCTGCTGCCGGGCCAGATCTTACAAACCGCCCAGGGCTCCTGGAGCAAAACCCAGAGGACGGATTCGCTAATTCCTCCACCCCAAGGGAAGGTGTTGGCTTCCTCCTGAGGACATCTGGCAAAGCTGGAGGGGGCCTGTTGAAAAAAACAGGAAGAGGACGGGGAGGCGGGGAGAAATCCACAGAGCCTCGTTAAGATTCCAATTAGGGCAGGCAAACAAACAGCCAATTTTCCAGTGTTTTGCAAAAGTGTGCCCAGAAGGAAACCGTGTCTCTCGCTCGCTCTTCTTCCTCTGGCCAAATGTAGACAAAAACCCGTCTGTCTGAACCAGAATGTGGGGAAATTCTTTTTAAAACTAATCTGCAGCAATGGGAGCCTGATAGGGCAGCAGCTTGATAGCCCACCCAAAGACCCCCATACATATCAGTCGATCCATCCACCTATCACCTGGGCTGGGATGATGTGCAGGGCCCCTCCGAGGCCACAGATTTGTTCTTCCAGGTCTTCCTCCTTCACCCATCTCACTGGGCAAGTTATCGTTGTTGTTTTTTAAACGAGGTTGCTCTTTTAATGCTTAGAAAATTCTTAATTCTCAACAGCCACAATGAGGAAAAGACGGGTGCCTTCTGCCAAGGAAGACAGATTGCGCTGCTCGGTTTGCCTCGCTTATTTGTTAAAAAAGCAGAGATGCGGAGACAGAAGAACCCTTCCCCCCCCCCCAATATTTTGGTTCTTTTAAAAAAACAACGTGTATTTTGAATGGAGCTCAGATTTTTCTCTGCACCTGAAGGCAAGGGGGGAAATGTTGCCATCTTCAGAACCAAAACAAACAAATAAGGAGAGAAAACCCTTTGCCGTTGCATGGATCTTGGCTGTGGGTTTATGTTTGATGTTTAATTCATGGCACGCACAAAAGGAACTATTTCATGTGATCATCTTAAATCTCCCTACAATGGGAGAAAAAAAATTACAGTCAACAGCAGGAGGGGGCTTACCAAATCCTTGATTAGGGACAGGAGAGAATTTGGTTCCGGTTCATTTTTTTTAAATTGATGTTTTAAGAAAATGAGGAACATCTACACATTTTATGTGATGGAAGGAATTTAAGATTCTGGAAAGAAATCTGGAGGTTGGCTATTCTAGCATCCTAGTAATACATCCCAGTTGAAAAGGGAATATCTCTATTTTATTTTCCATATAATTCACAGAAACGGGCTTCCCATTCTCCCAAAGGAATATGCCTATCATGCCCATACTGAATAGCTGTGTGTAACTATTGTTGGGAGGTTCCCGAAAGTATTCATTTCAGAAGTAAATGTCCCGGTAAACCAACTTAAACCAGGCAAGGCACCAATAATTTTTTTCCCAATAAATAAATGAATATTCAATAAATACTGCACTGCTATTTATTTTCGGAAAGTGGCCTGAGAAAGGGGGAGGGATCTGGGACTTACTGGGAACCCCGTTTTTGCTGGTGTGGCAGTTCTGATCCATTGGTGGGGACCTGGTCACCCCTTCTCCTGGCATGGTGGCCAGGTAGGATGCCGGGAGGCGGGTCAGGGAACATCTGTGTGTGTGAGAGAGAGTGTGTGTGTGTGTGTTTGTGTGTGAATCAAATGTATGCTTTGTGGCTACGTTTGGGGGGCATGATCTTGAACCCTATGGGGGGGGGTCTGAAGTCACTAACCCCAGTGTTATGAAAGGGAGAGGTGTCGTTTTGCAGGATTCTGCAAAACTCGGCCTGGAGAGGGCAGGAGCAAAGGGGGTGACAGAAAAGACAGGGCCAGAAAGCTCCCAAGGGTGCCACTGCCTCCTACCCACCAGAGTGGGCTTGGACGGGCATCCAGATTCTGCTGTTTACATTACGGAGTGAATCCCACAAATTTCATCCCCCCCCCCTTCTGCATTGCCTTGAGGGCAATCTATCAGGGCTTGAGAGAGTGGCTTTTCTAAACTAACTTCCTGAGCGTTGTTGAATTACACATCAAAAATGACTAGCCTCTTGAAGGCACCCTAATAAGGATATCCGGGAACCCACCGCTTCTATTTGTCTCTCCATCTTCCTCGTCCCACCACCCTCCGGATTATCTGCACACAGCCTGATGACTCCTCTCTAGAGTCAAAACCAATGGCTTCCGAAAGGGGCTATGGAAATGAGGCTGATGGCCGGAGGTTTCCTGTCCCCAATTTATAAAAAAAAAGTGCTGTGAAAATGCTGTTATGGTTGCAGCTCCCTCTTCCCCTCCCCCCCAAGTGTCACATTTTTGTGTGAAAGGCAGCCCCAGGGACCATTTCAGGTGAGGGCTGCTGAATTTTTATTTCCTTGCTCACCGGAAGATTTGCGGTGAAAATCAAAGCAGCTTTTATTTAAAAGCTGAGAAACAACAGGAGAAAATAAATATAGTGTGGGAATGGAAATCAAGCTTCTCTCCCCTAGTAACTTTCACAGTAGTTGGGAGAACAGGAAATTGCTGCTGTTGCATTTTTAAAATCTTTCTTTTTGTATGGGAGGAAAGCAGAAGAGACCTGTCGCATCAGACCAAAAGTCAGCTTAGACAGAAATCTTGATTTTTGCAGTAAAGCGTGCAAAAGTCATTTCTGAGTGCTACAGTTACCAAAACCATCCAGTTCACATATTCCATTAACAATGTTTACAGGTGGATTCTTTGAGATACAGACCAAAAAAGTAACTTTTCCCACTCTTCTTTGGCCCCATTATTTTTTTTTCAGGGCTAGACAGGCCCTGCTCATCATAAAGGGTTCCATGTAAACGCCACCAGTTTGCTGAACTGCTTTCCCCACAGAGGAACCTAAGGGAGACTCCACCCAACGGATCACACCAGACTGTCTTACTCAGAATTCAAGAAACGGAGGTCTTCGGGCAGTTTAGTACGCCCCCCCCCCAAAAAAAGGGTAACCATTCTGAACTGTGTTCAGTTCAAATGGGATTTAGAAGATGAAGGCAACAGCCCACTGGGTCCATCATCCATTTGTTTGAGATAGACTGCTCCTGGCTGTGGAAGCTTCATACATCCATTGTGACTAGTAGCCACTTCTAGTCGCAGCCTCTTGGCAATGGATTACATTACACCAACCATCCCCAACAGACATTCTCCAAGTGTGTGTGTGGGGGGGGGGCTACAACTCCCATCCACTCCAACTAGGATAACCAGAGTTGCACTCTGGCACACCTCGAAGCTGAGAAAAGACTCCACAAAATGGGCCTTGTTCCAATTCAGCACATTCATTTGGAAACCATGCATGAAGGATTGTGGAACGAATGATAGTACACAAGAGACTCAATAGCTGTTGCATGTACGATTCTGGAAGCGGATTGCATCCGACAACAGAACCCACAAAACCTGAGGCTCTACAGTGAAACACCCTCTCCAGTGCTAAAAACACACACACACACAACCCACAAGTGCAAATCTTGGGCCCATCTGCTCCTACCGCACCTTAAATCAGATCCGATGTCTGTGTCCTTGAATGACTCCTGGGGCAGGATAAGCGATTTGCATTAGAGGCTAAGAACCTGGATGGAGCCTGGGTGCTCAGGTGACGGATGGAGGAACGTATGCTCAGGGATTCCCTCCTCTGATCCTGAGGTCACCTTGAACCGTCCAGCTGCTCAACAGATGGAGGAGTGC